GCCAATTGAATACCTGAAAGATCACCAAGCTTCAAACATATTCACAAGCCACAGATAAATCTCCATTATAAATATTTTTAGGTAGCAGCATTAAAAGACATGCCACCAATTTTTCAAAGTGTGTGGGCTTCCTTCTTAAGTTGACTGAGTACAGTGTTTGCATTGCAAAGTATGACTTGACAAGAGAACCCGTAAAATTCCCCACTTGTGGCCTACTTAAAAAAGAAGTATGATAGTTTTAGGCACTGTTGAATGCCATACTGAGCTACAAAAAATAAATAAAACACCATAAAGCTCCCACCTTCATTTCATTTTTAGAGCCCCACACAGGGAGATGACATGAACATTCATCAGAGACACACCACTGAGGTTCAGATTTATTTTGCTTAATATTAAATTCTATATTTGGAAGAAATACCAATTTCTTTTTTAAATGAACAGCATCCCTACCCTTCTAAATGCTGAAGTTCACTAATGATTTTAAAACCACTCTGAGGGTTTAAACCGAATCACTACCACTTACAGCAGCCGGAGTTTAACATGCAGACCTCACATTGGGAATACATTTATGTTTCAGGTTAAATAAATTCAGCCTCTTTTGTTTTAGAACTGGAAGAACATTTTGTTGATTCAGGGCTCTATTTCTCTTACTTAGAGCTAAAAGAAGTCAGTTCAGCATAAGAATTTCTACAAGGCATTGATGGGAAGTTGGCCGGGAAGCCGCTCTCTGTATATCATAAACACTGCTAAGAACTTGGTTTAAACGTAAGAGGCAGGGTTGTTTCCAAGCATGCCTTCTCTGCATCTGTGTGGGCTTTGATGCCAAGGGCTACTCTAAAAAACAGAGAGGATGAATTTAAGGAGAGTTGTGGGTCCTAAAGAACCCTCCCCGAGATGCTGCCAGGAGGCCAGAAAGCTGGAGGAAGCTCCAAGGTTTCCCCTCCCCTCAACGTCCACTCTCCCAGAATATGCATTGAATCACCTCCTGGGCCACCCACCTGTGCCAAACAAAAACAGCTTCTCATCCACCCTCATGCTAAATTCTGTTGGACAACTACAAAGAAGTTCTTCTTGGGACGCTGTGCGGAAGACAGGGCTTACTGAGCAGATCCCGCCCTTTATCTCCTCCTCACTCCACACCCAGACTTACGGTGGAATCCATCAGATAATATTTGAAAAAATGAATGAAAATGGCATGCACCGTGTTGAATGGGGTGGGGTGTCACGATTCTCTGCTTCTGCAGACCCAGGGTTTATGGTGGGACCAAACTCGTCCACCTGACTCACACACCAGGATGAACCATTGCTAGCCAGTCCATATCTGCCTGGCATCTTTCTTTTCCTTCTTTTTTTTTTTCTTCAACCTCGAATCTCACTAATTTGTCAAGATACTGCAGATGAATACATTTTCCCATGAACCCTGATACAGCTGCCTTCATCCTCTGTGGCGTTCCTCATCCTTTAGGAAATCGTCAGGATGGCACATTGGACACATGACATAGAGAGGGAGTGTGTTCTTACTGTGTGTGCTAGGTTTCATTCTGCACACATTCTTTTCACCCCAACAATACTGTTGCAGCAAGTTGCTCTGAGAATTATGCAAATGATTTCCAAAGTTAAGTGTGGTATGTCATACTTGTGTGTAGTGAGTTCTATGTTCAGAAATTACTGGTTGGTAGTTTATTTTTTAATATGCTGATAAAACTCCTCTGCTCTGCATAATCCATAAATACTGCTTTGGAAGTATTCTCTATTTAATAAAGTTTAATACAACAATACCTTAACACATAGAAAGTAAATAAAAAGTTCCTTCAGCATTTGCATGTAAATACTGGATTATGCATACTTAAACATCATTAGAACAAAAACTCCTTAAGTAGGTAGCTCAAATTCAGTGCAATAACTAACCATACGTATCTTGGTTTTAAGTGTGTCTTAATAGTTTTTTGGTGACAATTAAAATTAAATTTTATAAGCAGAGCATGAGTCATTTAGTGAAATTAATGTATTATATAATTATCATTAGGTAGCAACAGGAGACCATTATGATGCATCAAAATTCCATTCTCTGAACATTACAACTTGTCTGGAACTGAGCAGAATCAGTAGGATGCACCTGCTCTGCATGGTTTTGTGTTCCTTTGTACTTTCAAACTCATTTTAGTTTTTTATGAAAACATGTTATTGCCTAAAGACCAGGACCATTACTGCTTTGTCAAATTATGAATGCTAAGGTTTATATTTCAATTTTTAATGCTGAAATAAACTACAGAGACCATTTCTCGTCTAATTTAAGAACTAGGAGACGAGAAACAAACTTCATGCTGTAAGTCCTTCAAAGACAAAGAACCACTAGGAAAAGTGACAATAATAAAGAGAAAGGAAAAGTAAAAATAACTAATAATTAATCATTATGTTAATGTCTACTTACATATTATTGATTATATATTCCATATGGGTTTTATCGCTCCAGTGCTAAGTAAATTAAGAGAAATGGAAAAGATAATTTTCCTAAATGATTTCAATACCTGTTTATCTGAGCAGTTGGTAGATGTGACTAAACAGACTTTTCAGTGTTCATCAATGGGGCAACTAGAGTGACAACTGTAATGGTATTTTTTAAAGATTTTTTTATTTATTTATTTGAGAGAGAGAGAGAGCACAAATGGTGGGGAGGGGCGGAGGCAGTGGGAGAAGAAGACTCCCTGCTGAGCAGGGAGCCCAATGCGGGACTCGATCCCAGGATCCTGAGATCACGACCTGAGCCGAAGGCAGACGCTTAACCCACTCAGCCATCCAGATGCCCAGATTTTTAATCATCATTATGACTAGACTATTATAATAGCTCAGGCCTCTATATCTGGGCTATTATAATTACCTTCTGATCCAGCTTTCTGGATGTAGAATCTCCCACCACAATCTACTCAGGAGTAATCTTTATAATAAAAATCTAGTGATGCCATACGTCAGACCCTCCAGGGATCCTCCCCACCAGCACCTTCTCCAACATGCACAGAGAAATGTTTATAACTTGGCACACTTGCTGTAATATGACCTGTCCTATGCTCTGTGTCTGTGCTTTTATTCATGCAATCACGTGCTAGACCGCTTCCAACACCTCCCAATTTTCTTCTCACCAATATTCATCCTTCATGAGCCAACTTCAGCACCAACCCCTTTTCTGTGTTTTCTGCACATGCCACTCAGATTTTACCACCTTGTTTGCCTGCTGTAATAGACACTGTCAGTGCCCCATGTGTGTCCCTTGGAACATGTATACTTTCTGACCAACTTCCATCTGCTGGTATCTATACAGTCTGACCCAATGCCCTTGTATCCACATGGCAGAGCTGGCTGCTTGCTTGCTCTGGAGGCAGGAAGTACCAAAAATACCCTCCTCCACAGCATCAGTGACCAAGGAATCTCAGGATTTTGTGCACGAATTTGCCAGTCCCATCACTTCTCAGCATCAATAATTCTGGGACATGTGTTTGCAGAATTTCCTAGGTTCGCCCTTGGGATTGAGCTCCAGTCTTTCTAATGACTGGTTTAGTAGCTGTCCCTTCATTAGCAGCTGTCTTTTCCCTGCATCACTTCCTACTTGTCTGTGAGTATCACTTGAACTTCTCCAAAATGATTTCTTCCTCAATCTTTTGTCCACAGGTCTCCTCTTATAGAGTCCACAGTAAAAGTTGTGACACAGGAGGTATTACTACACAGGGTTCTGGAGTTGGATGGCTTGCTGGCTACGTGGCATCAAGACTCCGTAGCTTGTTGCAGCAGGTCGATGACTAATCCTCTTCCCTGTGGTGAGCTGGGGCAGCATCAAGGCATGAGGGAATGTATGCCCTATGCAATCTCTCTGGGATTTGAGAGACAGAGTGACAATGATGATGATAATGACTATGGAGCTGTTGTAAGTATTGTCAGAGCTCTGAGGGAAAAAACTGATGAGCTCACGCTGACCAGGCAAAATCTCAGGGCATGGTATGGAAGGCAGAAGGTCTCTGCCTTTAACATTTAGAGAGGCCCTCCCCTTCTGCAGCCAGAGAGGAAACTGGACTGAACACCAGACCTTTGTCTGACTGGAAGAGCAGCTGTCTTGTAGAGAAGGCTTGCTTCAAAGCACCAGCAAAACTCCTATTCAAGACTTAAAGCTTTAACAGGGAAAGGGTGGGTTCCTGACATCTGGACTCATACATCTGGATGACCCACTCCTTGAGAGAGAAGGGTTCTCTCCTTGCCTGTGGTTCACACAGATGCCTTATCTCAGGTAGATACTGTGAAATATGTGTGCCTTCCTCAAAATTCGCCCTCAGCTTATGGCTTCTAAACCATCCACCATGTTCAAGACCAAGAATGGCCCAACTGAGGAAATACTATGCTTTCTATAAGAAAAATGGGATTATTCATCAAAGGAAGTAGAGAAACTGGCTTATATGTCCAGTCTTAGGATCAGGAGAGCACACTGGGCAAGAGGTGTGTGTGTGAAATATGGGTACAAAGCAAACACTATATAGATGTTTACACAACCAGATGAATATACCTCTAAACATCTGTATTCTGAGGTATGCACTTACAAATTCACACTTAATGGTATAGCTAATTACATATTTCTCTACAGATACCTTATTATAATTTCAGAAAATAAAAATATATATTAAATAAGAAAAGAATACCCTTCCAATGAATCAATGTTCAAAGCACTTAAGGGTCACAAATATGAATCAACAAGCTTAATAAGTGAAATCCAAATGGACACAAGGTGATTTATGAAAAACAAAACAAAACAAAAAATCTTGAAGAGTATCCAGCACTGTGACTGAGAATGAATGCACTTTATTCTGTTTTGCCTTATACCCAAGTGATCTCACTCACTGATCACCTTCAATAATTCTGATGACCCACCGCACATTGCATTAGCTGAATCTCCTTTCAAAATTAAGATGTGAGAAACGTATTCAACAAAAAAATACATTTAATATATATCTTCCACTTACCCGTACTTGACCCACAAAGGCATTGGTTTCTTCCTCCACCACAGACAGGTTTCTAGGCAGAAAGGGGTCGAACACTGGTGCATTGTCATTGACATCTGTCACCACCACATTTATGGTAGCAGTAGAGGTCTTAAAGGAAAAAAAAGAAGGACTAAATATGAAAGAAGTTATTTTCATGTTGATGTCATCTCATCGGTCATCTTGGAGTTTGTCTGTCTGAAATAGAGCGAGACCTTGCCTCACTCCAACTAAAATCCAAAGTATCTCGTTGCTATTCTTACTCCTTAGCTTTCCAAAAAAGAGAAAAGAAAAAAAAAAAAAACAGGAAGTTTGCAATATTCAAGCATTTCAAAAAAACAGATGGAGAAAGCAAATGATGATATTACAGGGCAAACATCTTCTTGAAAATGTCAAATATTTCCTGGAGGCTTACTTTGAGAAAGTGATTTTACCTTTATCTTGTTCACAGTTTATGGGTGGCAAGCTTTTGTTTATACACACATGTACCTGTTTTTCTCTGAAATATAACATTTCTCTAGTTTATATCACTTACATTTCACACTGTGTAAAAATAAAAATGGTGTCCTATCAAAGAGCACAGTGCATCAAATGGGTATTTTCAGGTAAGTAAATGCTGTCAGAAAATACTACATTCATCATTTTCTGGGTTCACCTCTACACTGAGAGTTTGAGCACCACGTATCACTAGTTAACTGATTACTTTATGGTCATACAGCCCAAGGAAGTGGTAAGCAGGTACACTTAAAGTAGTATGTGCTACCTGGTTCAAAGATCAACCCTTGGCCTGCTGCAACCAGAGACTGTTACGTAGGTCAACAACTTTTGCAAAATCAAGGAACATCTTCAGATGTGAGTCAGGCTGGAAACTGTTCTTTCTAATCAAAGCCTGAGAAGCAGCACCTGCCCTGCACCCAGCTCTGTGAGAGTGTGGGGCACATTACAGAAGTCTAGGGCCAGAATCAGAGAAAGAAAGGGCCCTTGGATGGAAAATGAAAAATCCATCAGGCGATGATACTACATATGTGACAAGATGTAAATTAAAAAATAGGAGAAATATGCAAGATGAAATAATTACCCAACTTTTGTTTTAAAAAATACCGACACAATTTGTCCTGATTGTACGTGATGTGGGGTGCACCAATGCTTGGCTCAGAGGGAATGAATCTGGGGAGATCCTGTAGCCGTCATGGGCTGAGGGGTCAAACACTGGATTTCCTAGTGGCTGAGGAGGCAAGGACCTGGTAAATGACTTGTCCTTGTCTTTCTTATTGGGATCATTGACGTTGTACACTCTATTAGTAATGGTGCATGGGGTCTAGACCTTACCTCACTTTGACTAAAACCCAAAGCTGAAACTCCAATTGAATTAAGGCTGTCTGTCCCTATTTTAACAGAAGCAAAAGTATATACTCTTTTGAGCAATATGACTTTACTGCAAGCTTTTATAATTTTTCCACATGCAATATCCAGCAGTCATCTAAAAATCACCATGCATAGCAGGGAATTCTTGGGTATTCATAATGGGTTCTTTCTCTATTTGTGTCCTGGCTACATTGATGGGCTTAATCTGTGAAAATTCATACAGCTATTCAGTATGATTTTTACATATTTCTATATTGAAAAGCCCAATAAAAATTTTATTTAAAGGCATGCCAAGGGTGACCAGAACAGTATTATGTAGTCAAAACCTGGAAACAACCTAAATGTCCACCAGTAGTAGATGGTTTGATGTGCACAGTGCAATAATATATAATACTGAGAATGAACAGAGCATGGTTACAAGTACCCACAGGGATGAATTTCAAGAACATAAGGTTGAGGGTAAGAAGTCAGGCACAAAGTAGCACATACTATATGATTCCAAGTGTATACATTTCAAAGATTGGCACAGTGTCTTCATTGTGATAGAAGTCAGAATAGGGATCACCTTATGAAGAAGGGGTCTGGGACTAGCGCAATCATAAGGCTGGGCTCTTGGGCTGCTAACTGATTTCAGTTTCTTATTCTAAATATTGATTACATAGATGTGTTCACTATGTGAAAATTTATTAAGCTGCACAATTAAAGTTTGTGCATTCTTCTGCGTGCATATCTTCATGAAACCGTGTAATTTAAAAGATGCATGAGCACAAACACACTTGTATTAGATATATGTGGTTCTGTATAAATTCGAACATTTTCTGATTAGATGAAATACAGAAAATTTAATTTGCTTATTTTAACTTTTATGTATTTTCCACATTTTCTCCAACAAGGCTACATTGCTTTTATAACAACGACAACAACAAAACAGTTAAACAAATGTTATTTCTCTAAAAGTTGTGTGAGTTAAAACCAGTAAAAGGATGTTTTTACAGGAGCAGTAGTTCTCAATTTGCCTGAAGGTGAACAAAACGTTAAAATTGACAGCCTGGGGCGCCTGGGTGGCTCAGTTGGTTAAGCGACTGCTTTCGGCTCAGGTCATGATCCTGGAGTCCCTGGATCGAGTCCCGCATCGGGCTCCCTGCTCGGCAGGGAGCCTGCTTCTCCCTCTGACCCTCCCCCCTCTCATGTGCTCTCTCTGTCTCAAATAAATAAATAAAATCTTTAAAAAAATAAAAAAATAAAAATAAATAAATAAAATTGACAGCCTGGAGTCAAAATCTAAGAGTAGCCACACTAGAGTCTGCTGACTTTCCTTCAAATTGTCTGACCCTCTTTATGGCAGCCTGTCTGCACTTCCCTGTCAATCTACTAGATAGGTTTTCATCCTATTTTTTACAATTCCCATTCTTGACCCTATAGTGTGTGATGTTTTCAGACTGTTTCGGTCCTCAGTCAAAAACTATGGACTATAGCTAGGTAAGACAGAAGAGAGCTGGATCACTAAGTAATCTGAAAAGTTAAAGGACAAATCAACCATTTTTGTGCTAATAGGGGCTGAAATTTATGTATAGATGTATTTCTCCACATCTTAGTAATTGTATATGACATGAGGAATAAAAACTATGAACACATAGAATAATTTCCAACTTACGTATTTCTTGAAAAGTAGTCTAGAGACCACTTGCATCAGAATCACTTGATTAATCATTATAAGTGCCCAGGCTACACATTAGACCTATTGACTCTATTCATTTAAATCTCCTGAAATAGTTGTAGATTAGTTAGTTGTAAAGCACAATTATGTAAATATTTTTGATTGGTTCAGAAAGATGGTGATGCTGCTTCAATATGGATCTGTGCCCTAGAGGAATTTTGTATCATATCAAGGACAGATTTTCAGTTGGTTAAGGTTGCCTATTTAGACTATCAGCTCAGGTCATTTTAAGTAAAGTTAATAAAAAGAACAATATGTCGGCTAACATATGTTCATAATTAATTTTAAAAATCGATTTATATTATGCCAATTAAATAAAAAAGATAAGATACCAAACTAATAAACCTGATTAGTGCAAAGCTACCTGTTTCCCATTAAGAGAATTTGTCTTACTGCTTATTTTCTCAAAAGTTGTATCAAATTACAATTCTACTAGCTGGAAGTACTTGCAGTTTAGTACTATATTCCATAAATTATCACTTTTGGGGTCATTAGTTATTTTAATTATAACATCATAGATTTTATTTTGTTTTAAATCATGGATAAATCCTCACAATATGTATTAAATTCTCAACAATGCAAGCAGATATTTCTGTTGTAGCAGACCATTTGAATACAAATTTATTTACTTTTTTAAGATTTTATTTATTTATTTGACAGAGAGAGACAGAGTGAGAGAGGGAACACAAGCAGGGGGAGTGGGCGAGGGAGAAGCAGACTCCCCGCTGAGCAGGGAGCCCAATGCGGGGATCGATCCCAGGACTCTGAGATCATGACCTGAGACGAAGGGAGACGCTTAACCAACTGAGCCACCCAGGTGCCCCTCACATTTATTTTCATAAACTGCTATGGCCTTGAAATAAAGACATTAATATGGTGCCACTGGTTTGGTACAGTATAAAAATGTGAGATTAAAGCCAAAGTCAAAAAAACCACAAATGTGTATATTCATCTACACAAACCATTTTTTTTATTCATGAGAACTTCTTTTAAAAAAAGTATTTTACAATCTTCCTTAATTTTATATTATGGACTTTATTGAATCTATCAAGCTAATTTCTTAAATTATTGAAAACCTGGTTTAAGTGGAAGATATTTAGGGTGTTCAAAATGTATTCATTCGCTACTTACTGAAGATAGAATTATGATGACTTTCCATTGATACAGATCTAAATTTGAAACTATGGACTTATAAAGTGACAGAAAAATTTGTATTATATGCTATATAATTGAGAAACAAAGAATGGAATGATACAGCTGCCTTTTTTTTTTTGTCAATGTGGAAATGTATCCATATATATATATGCAAAGACCCTTTAAAACCTTTCTATAAACATGTATGTTCAAACTAACATTTATTAGCATGTTTAATTCCTTTCAATAAAAATGGAGAGTTGGAATCTGGAATAATGAGGGTGTGTCATTTAGGATCTGACCACTCTTGTTTTCATCTAATAGGACAAGGAAAATACATCTACTCTGTAATGGGCATTCTTCTTAGGCAATATCAATCCAAAATATTTTTATTCATAGCTACAAATCATCCTGTGACTACAACATCAAGAGGCAAGCCTGCCTGACCCAGATCATAGAGTTTCTTTGATGACATAGACAGGGTGCCCTTTGTACCAGGGAGGCTGACATGGGAGGCTTCTTCCCCTTCTGAGAATGACAGAATAGAAAATGTCTTCCAGAAAAGCCTTCCTATTCTGGATTATGGGGAGGAGAAGGGGAGGCAGAGAGAAGACGAGGATGCAAAGGTCCTTGTCTTCATCCTCTCCCCCCCTATTATTCTGGAAGCACTTTGGGGAAAGTGGTGGTAGATATTGAGCAAGTAAGAGAACTTTGGGTGAAATGGTGGCTGACCCTTGTGGAGCATGGAAGCCTCCAGAGAAGTTCCATGGCAGTCACATCTAATAGGACATGGCAAGGAATATGGAAAAGTGGCAGAGACAAGTGGTCAAAGAGAGAAGCTGGGTTTCTTTGTGTGTGGCTCAGGAATTCTAGAGGCTGAGAGATCACTCTGTGA